CTCATTAGTCCTCTCTACAGGCTTTTCTGGCAGGTACCAACTTTCAAAGCCACTAGAATTTTAATATATATGCATCCTTGTTAGTAACCTTGAGATCTATAAAGTTAATTTAAATTTTCTTTGGAAAATTATGTTCATTTTTAGGATTTGACTCTTCCTAGCCAAATAACAACAAAATGTTAGATACACGCAGAATAAACTAATAAAAATAATAGCAAAGTTGGATCCTCTTCATGGACACATAAATACTTTCCTGTGTCACATACAGATTCAGTGCCATATGTTGTATCGAGCATTTGGAGTTGGGGTGGGACAAATCCATGGCTTTGCACATCTGGTATGTATTAAGGCAAATACAAAAATTACAATCACTGAGTAAATAGTACTACTTATTGCCTTCTGCAAGAAATTATTTGCTATTATTTTTCAACAAGGAAACTGAAAAATAAGTATTTCAAGATTGGTGTTTATTTAGATGGTGAATTTTAATATTTAAATAATACAGGCATTCAAGAACATGGTTAAAATGAGGTAAAGCAGATATTTCTAATACTGTTACTGAAACTCATCTGATAGAATTTTTAAATATTGTTCCTACTGTATTAACAAAAAACAGTATAGTCATACCTTTGATAATTATATCTTTGGGGCTAACAGTGTTCAAGAATAAGTAGAACTCTATAGAAAACATTCGCGTGTGTATTAACTCATGTAATCATTGAAAGTGTGAAGTAGATATTGTTATTTTTATTTCATAGATAACAAAATCAAAGATTTAGAACTTCAAAGTTGCCCAGCTGATGTGGCTTAGTGGTTGGGCGTCGACCTATGAACCAGGAGTTTATGGTTCAATTCCCAGTCAGGGCAGATGCCCAGGTTGTGGGCTCAATCCCCAGTACAGGCGTGTAGCAGGCAGCTGATCAATGATTCCCATTATTGGTGTTTCTATGTTTTCTTTCCCTCTCCCCTCTCTGAAATCAATAATATATTTTTAAAAAATAGAGCTTCAGAGTTATGTTAAATAGCAGACCCTCTTCTTCTTCTTCTTTTTTAATCCTTACCAGAGGATGTTTTTCCCATTGATTTTTAGAGAGTGGAAGGGTTGGGGAGAGACAGGGAGAGAAAAAAAATCGATGTGAGAGAGACACATTGATTGGTTGCCTCCCACACGAGCCCCGACCAGAGCCAGGGATCCTTGACCAGAATCAAACCGGGGACCCTTCAGTCTGCAGGACTACACTCTATCCACTGAGCCAAACTGGCTAGGCCAGACCCTCTTGTTCTTACTTCCCAAGTTGTGTTTCCTGCCACTGTAATTGCTGATAAAAAGATAAATGCATCCTGACATTGTAAAAAAGCATACTGTCAAGCATGTAGTAGCTACTAACATGTTTTTCCTTAAGTTGAGGTCTACTGCCTATGTCAGAAATCCCAACTCTGACCCCAAATACTGTCACTTCTACTCTTCAGTGTCCTCAACTATGAAATCAAAATTTCAATGGAATCTCATACAGGATGAGGTGAATGAACAACTAAAGTGATGCTTCTGGCATTAATAGTCTCAAGATATGTGATTCTCAGTAGAAAAAAAATGGTATTTTCCCCTCTAAGTGTTTTTCCTTGAATTTAGAGAAAAGTATGGAGTTAATAGTATTCAACAAAGATGAAACAAAAAGTTGATTGTTATCACAAATAAAACCAGAATGGCTACTGTCCACTGGGAACTCTCATTTCTCATTCTTAAATCATTCCTTATCCCTCCCACCACCAGAGTCCTCCATAGTCTATTTTTAGAGAGTGGAAGGGTTGGGGAGAGACAGGGAGAGAAAAAAAATCGATGTGAGAGAGACACATTGATTGGTTGCCTCCCACACGAGCCCCGACCAGAGCCAGGGATCCTTGACCAGAATCAAACCGGGGACCCTTCAGTCTGCAGGCCTGACACTCTATCCACTGAGCCAAATCACCTAGCCCGCCCCCGGCCCCTGCTTTTTTAAAAGTGATTTCATTATGTCAGATATTAACATGTTGAAAGACAACTAAAGCCGTTTTTCTTTGGGTAAAGTGCAGACACCAGGCATTGTTTCTGCTTTGAATGGTGGGTATTGAGAACTCAAGGAGCTGTAAGAAGGAAAGGATGTGCTCAGAGAAGCTTGTCCGGGCCAAAGGAAAGGACTGATGCGCTGGTGAGGAGACTGACTCAGAAATGAAAGGAAATGCCGAAAAGAACTTCCCATTAACCACAAGGAGGTGGAGTGGGGGGGGGGTGACACCACTTCATTATACAGCAGTGCGGGGGCCGCCCTTCCAAACAGCCACCACCCTGTGCACACACGCTGAGCATCATGAACCAAGATCAAGGTGTAGGGTTGTATCTTAGGAGACTCGGGGGTATCAGCAAGGGTGGGTCGGGTGATGTCTGACACTCAGGATAGCTCTGAGATGGTCAATAGTTTATGACAAAGTATTGCTTACTTATACTGGATAGTAAATAAAGATAACAAAACTGATCAGGTTCACTCTAGTGCCTTTAGTTCTACATTGTTTTGGTGACTGGGGGAATCAGGGCTTCCCAGAGATGGAATCCCTGTACCAGCATAGAAGAGCAGAATTTGAAGTAAATAGCTCTGACATGATTAGGCAAAAGAATAGATGAATCTGGACAAAATCCCTAGTGAAAGATTCTTTCCTGTGACCTATAATTCAAGTGATTTAGCAAAGATTTTTTTAAAAAACCCATGAAGCTCAAAAATATATCTACAAAGACTTCATTGTCCTGTCTGCACACGCTCCTCTCTTCCTTTTTGATCATTCTTACCTATTCTACTTCTCATATTGCTTGGGCAATTAAATAACACAAGCCTGCAGTAGTGCATTCAGATCTGCTAGAAAATCAAGCAGTAAGCAAACAGAAGGAATTGTTTGATATTCTTTTCCTTTTTAAAAAATCCTCACCTGAGGATATTTTTCCATTGATTTTTAGAGAGATTGGAAGAGAGAGTGAAAGACAGAGAGAAATATCCACGTGATAAACACATTTATTGGTTGCTTCCTGCACACGCCCTGACCAGGGCCAGGGAGAAGCCTGCAACCGAGGTACATGCCCTTGACCAGAATCGAACCTGGGACCCTTCGGTCTGCAGGCTCACACTCTATCCACTGAACCGGCTGGGGAGGTTTGATATTCTCTAGATCCACTGGTCAGTATCCAGGAAGCACAGCTGACTTCCCTTTAGATCGCCAGCTCAGGCAGTCTTGTTCTAAGCTTCTGCACACACAATGCCATCAGCCGGGACTGCAGCTGCCCAGCTCCTTTCCCTTAGGGGCAGTGCTTTGAGCCATTCAGTCATTCCAAATGGCCCCTTTGCCTCACCTTGAAGTGAGCCTTGAAGTCAGGGCACCTGAATTCCAATTCTCGCTTTGCAGCTTATTGGCTGTTGAGCTTGCTCTCTCAGTTTTAAGATCGGGTGAGCGGAGCTGGGCAGAGCCTGTTGAGCAGCGCCTGGAGCATGGTAGGCACAGAATGACTCCACCTTTACCCTTGAGCATGCTCTGGAGGCACACAGCTCTCAAACAGGGCTCTTGTGAGTGCTTTCCACCCAAGAAGAAAAAATAGCTTCCAAGAGATCCTACTCCCCAAACCATTCTTTCTCCCCCACCTTTAAGATGCCAGGCTCAAAAAATTCCCTCAAGTCACCCTCAAGTTGCAAAATGAAACTTTTTTTTCTCCTTTTCTTCCACTAGCGAGGCAGAAGTGCTTAGAAAGAAGCATGATCAG